TCATGATTTCATTTTTCTTTAAAATTATATTCACACCATTGAAAAATTTTATCTCATGTTTCATTATTTCAGAGAAAAAAATCTAATATTAAGAAAAAGAAAGTGGGTGTTTGCAGAGAAGTTAGCCTACATTTCTGTGCTGAACTTTATAAATCAAGTCCTATTATTAAATTAGTGGTATCATAAAATGATTGAATCTTCTGTCACTTTATTTTAAAACTGAGCACTTGGTTATAATCCAAAGCTCTCACTTTAATGATAGGGAAAATAAAGCCCTAAGAAATTAAGCCTTGCTTGAAAGTGACAGTTGGATGTTGAACCCATTCTGTGGCTCCCCCTGAGGGCTGCTGTCTTCTTCTGCATGCCTATGCTATGTTATTCTTACTTCTAAATATGAACATGTCACATGTGGCTATTATATTACATATCCACACCTCCTATTAATCTTTAAACTGCATGAATGGTAGCCTCTGTCCTCTTGACTGAATATTCCTAGCAACTGTCTTTATAATATACTTTTTTTGAATGACTGATCTTCCTATTTTCATTTTTGTTTCAAATCCCGTCTAAGGTCAATCAATATTCCATAAAACACAAGAAGCCCCAGCAATCTTCCTGGCTCCACAACCTTAACACAGAATGGAACTTTTCTCCTATGGAAGCCAGAGCTGCCTCAGAAAACAGGAGCAAACCAGGACTTAATTGCTCTAGCTCCAAGTTGTAGGAAGCTTCTCTGGCCTCTATGGGACATATGTCAGAATGTTCTGCATCTGTGTTATATACCCAGAAAAGATCTTCCTTCTCTAGCTTCTCCCTCTGCTGCCCCCATCCCTGCAGATGAATCTCTCTTCGTGGGACAGGAGCATCCTGTAGACCCACAGGATCCCCACTGGAGAACAACCTTTGCCTTTGCCCATTCGGCCTCTGCTGTCAGATGCTTTGAAAACTTTGAAGCTCACACTTGTCTTTGGTGCGTGCTTGTTGACAGAAATAACAGTGTGTCACAAACTGTGTTGACTTTGGTACTAGATTAGGCCTGACCTGAAAAAGTATCAATTATTTTTTCTGAAGGTGGCTGCAAATCCAGGCCATGGAGCTCAAACTCCAACTTCTTCATTCACTGGGAAAAGATGGGGGAATTTTGGTGGATAATTTACTTCTTCAAGTCTATTATCTCCAGTTAAAAAGACATTATTTTTCTTCAGATGAGCTTTAAATCCCAAGACTTTTCTGAGGGTAGACTTAGATAACACAATGAATGTTTAATATTAGCCACAGAATCAAATTAAAATAGAGAAGAAGGGTTATGGTGACTTTCCATTTCATGGTTTTAAATGTACAATTCTTCAAACAACTTGACAAATGGCTGTCACCTATTTGATAAATTCCTTATGCCACCTGGGTCAGGACTATTTAAGAGAACTCCTTGTCTGTCAGAGGCCAGAAGGAAATTGAATGAGCCTTTGATTCTGTCCTGGGCATGGTCAAGTGAGAGTTTAGTTACAGATCTGTTTAGTAAGGAACAAAGAAATTCTTTGTAGAATAAGGAGTGATGAGTATGAAAATTGGGACCTAAGCAGCTCCACAATTACTGCACTTTGCCAACGGGACAGAGGTGTCAGAGAGCCAGAGGAAGCAATCCCTTGGGTGGGAGGGACAGTGCCTAAGAGTTACTTAGCTGAAGCAGATCTTGAAAATGGAAGCCAGTCCACTGAGACTTGACAGGAAGCTCCAGGGAGCCTAAGAAACAGTTTCAGAGCTAGGAAAAGGCCAAGTGCTTCTGGAGTAAGGTGTGGAGAGAGGAGGCCCCGGGAGGTTGCTTTGTGTTTCAGTGGCTGCTCTCATCACCTAGAGAAACATAGATTATTACTGAAGACACAGAGATTTCCTAGATGCTTACTCAGTGGATGAGAGTGCCAGGAAGAGAGAATGAGTAAGAAAATCAGAATAAACTGGGCAGTGGCAGCATATGCCTTTAATCCCAGCAGTCAGGAGGCAGAGGCAGGTGGATCCCTGTGACCTAGAGCCCAGCCTGGTCTACAAAGTAAGTCCCAGAAGAGCCAAGGCTACATAGAAAAGCCCTGTCTCAACAACAAGCAAAAAACAGAAGAAAGAAAACCAGAATAAAAAATAAAATCAGAATAAACAGCATCTCAGTCCATTTTACGAGAGATCAAGACAGATTTTTGAGGAGTTGTGGGCCCTGCCAGTGACCCTAGTGGAGCCCTGCGCTTTGCGGAGCCATCAGAGCCCTGGGAAAGACAGGGAATGGAGAGATGATAGAGGGTAAGCTCTATTTGGAGGTCCAGTGTGTTCTGCCAGGAGTGAGGGTAGCCCAGGTTAAAAGGAAGGCGAAGGACTTGGCCTGCAGTAAGTTTTCAATTTCGTTTTGAATTTCGTTGTATGGGCTTTCTTTCCCTAAGGCCTGCTGCTAGAATCAAAACTCTGCTATCATTGCTGATAGAGTGGCTGCGGTGCCTCTGCCAGTCCGCCCTGTTTCGGGAGAGCATTTATTCCCAGGAATGTTTCACCAAAATGGATAACTACAAGAGCCCCAGGTAACGTGCACCCGCTTCCTCCCTTTTATACGACGTAATAAATATTCTCAAGATACACAGAAGTGAATTTTCCTAACTCCAGCGATAGCATCAGCCTCAGGTAATAATGTCCAAGGAGCGACTAATAAATGGGTGAATGGTTTAAGTGAAGGATGGTTTGACTGAATGAAGGACATGAATTTTCTAAGTGTTATGCGGGTTCAAGGATGAAGTGAAGAAGTTAATCAAAGGATCCTTCCAAGCAGAAATGGGAAACATCTCTGTTGGTGCTGAGTGCTAATTTAGATAGAAAAGAACATGAAGTCACTGAACTCGGAAACAAGATGGGAAGAACAAGTCTTTGCCATCACAGTGGATGGCCAAACACGTGGGGACACATAGGTCAGTGTGTCAAAGCAGAGCAAGCCATGAAACAAGAGCACCAGACGTCAGATGAGGGAGTCTCAAGGATAAATCCCTGTAAACTCCTTTTTGTTCAATAATATGGAAAAGAAGCTGGTTGGTCTTAGTTTAGTTAATTGTGTGATTAAAGTTACAAATATAAATACTACTTGAAGGGAAAGGAAAAGAGTTAGCAAGAAGAAAGGGACAAAGTAAATGTGGCCCATCTGATAAAAATGAAGCAAGGCAGATGGAACCCATCAAGTAAGATGGTGACCATGAGAACAAATCATCATGAGCTTGAGAGAATATATTAACCTACTAAAAGGCAGACTGTAAATAGAAAAAAATTCTGCTCTATGCATGAACTCTGAAAATACGACATGGAAGAAAAATGCAACAGTCGAGGCTGCAGCGATGACTCGGGGATTAAGATCATTCATTGCTTTTGGAGAGGACGGTGTTTGATTCTGAGCTTCCACATGGTGGCTTATCACTACCTGTAACTCCAGTTCCAGGGGATCTGAAGCCCTCTTCTTTTCTCTGGACACAAACACGCATACATAAAAAATAAAAGTCTTTTAAAAAATACAACAACCTTTGAAAATCAAGACAAATGTGTTTACAAGTCCAGGTAAATGTTAATCCAGACAAATAATGTCCAGTGCCTAAGATGGTGGCATGTGCCAGGTTTTAAAAGTCATCATAGAACCTTCATTCAGCAATGGATGGAAGCATATTCAGAGATCCACAGCGAAACAACGGACTGAGCTCCCAAAGCCCAGTCAAAGAGTGGGAGGAGGGGTAATATAAGCAAAGGGGTCAAGACCATGAAGGGGATACACACTGACACAACTTACCTGAGCCAATGGGAGCTCACTGACTCTGGTCTGACAGTGAGGGAACCAGCATAGGACCAAACTAGGCCCTCTGAATGTGATGGATAGGTATGTGGCTGGGGCAGACTGTGGGACCACTGGCAGTAGGACCAGGATTTATCCCTACTGCTTGAACTGGCTTTTTAGAACCCATTCTCTCTGGAGGGATACCTTGCTCAGCCTAGATATAGCAGGGAAGGCCTTGGTCCTGTCTCAAAGCAATGAGCTAGACTTTGTTGACTCCTCATGGAAAGCCTCACCCTCTCTGAGGAGTGAACAAGAGGCGGAGATGGAGGGAGTGGGATGAGGGGAGGGAGTGGGAACTGGAACTGGTGTGTAAAATGAGAAAAGGTTAATTTTAAAAATAAATAAATAAATAAATAAATTACTTTTTAAAATATGCATTTTGACTAAAAGGAAGAATTTAGAGATTATTATTATGCTGGTTTGACTGTTTTGGGGAAAGATAACAGAAACAGAATTATCAATTGGCTATTAAAAGTCAAGTGTGGTGTTAAATGAATAATCAGAGAAAGGTCAGATCAGAGGAATAATATGTTATAATTGCATAAATGAAGGACTGAGTATGAAAAGGTGGTTAGGTTTAAGAAGCCAAAAGAACATGTGGAAAGTAAATCCAAAGTCAAAGTAAACCGGGTGCCTCACTGAGAATTGTCACACGATTCTTGTATACTAATGATGGATATTCTTCATCATTTCAAGTTTACATTAGCAAGTTTTTATGAAGATTCAATATTTTCCAGAATATTCACTAGAAAAGTTTGGTCTTTATTCTTTACCACATTTCCATTCACAGATTAGTAAACTTTTCAAATTTGTCCACAAACCTCAGTTGCTATGTTCACTTACCTCTGATAGATATTGCTTAAAGGAAGAAAAAAATATATATTCTTAAGAATTTTTAATAAATAATTAAAAATCATAAAACATCAAGTGGAGGGCCTCAGTTGTCCCACTCATGAGGACCAGGCCCACGATATGATGGTAAGGGGAGATAAACACCAATAAGGTTACACTCCTACTCCTAAACCTACATGCCGTGATCAGCACCTAGTAGGGATATATGACTCAAGCTGACGGACCTGAAAATCATATTCCCAGGTACCACTGAAGCTTGTAAGCATTAGGCCACCCATTTTGTCTCGCTCAGTGGTACTCTTACCTTGTTTAGAGATGATGAAAAAGCAGGTCTCCACCCAAGGTCTGTCCCTCTCTCCCTCTATGTCTGTAAAGTAAGAGGAGATAACTTAACAAAGATGATTTTTCTTTAGCAAGTACATGATATACACGGTCAATATATAGCTGTTGTTATTATACCCTCAGAATTAATTATAGTATCTTATTAAAGTATAAAAGGAGTTACAGTGACCGTTCAGACATAACCTGGTCACACTGATTTCCCATATACCTAGGTTGACTAGGAAGAGGACAGTGAAATGGCAGGGCGCACCAGCATGTACCAGTAAGAGGTAGTGTCTAAGTTAGGATTTCTGTTGCTATAGAAACAGCATGAGCAAAAAAACGCAAGCTGGGAAAGAAAGAGTTTGTTTGGCTAACACTTCCGTATCATTGTTTATCATCAAAGGAAGTCAGGTCAGGAATTCAAGCAGAGTAGGAACCTGGAGGCAAGAGTGGGTGTAGAGGCCATGGATGGGTGCTGCCCACTGCCTTGCTCTCCATGGCTTGATCAGCCTGCTTTCTTATAGTATCCAGTATTACCAGCCCAGGGATGGCACCTCCCTATCACTAATTAAGAAAATGCCCTGCAAACTTGTATACAGCCAATGTTATTATGGAGACATTTTCTTAAATGAGGGTCCCACTTCTCAGATTACTTTAGCTTGTGTCAAGTTGGCATAAAACTGTCTAACACAACACTATTTCAAAAAAGCCTGTAATGCCATGGTAACCTAAATGGCAGTGTTTCTCTCAGATGTCCTTGGAGAGATCTATCACCATTCACCAAATAATTGTGCTGTAAAGAAAGCTGGGGAGATAGATCTGTTGGTCAATTACTTGACATTCATACCTGAGTTTGATCCACAAAACTTATATTTTAAAACGTGTGCATGGTGCCAGTCCTAGGGAGATCGAGTTTGGTAGACACCTAGAGCTCACTGGCCAGCCACCTTGCCCATTTGGTCTGTAAGAGACTATCTTCAATAAGGAAGAAATTTCCTAAGGACACTTAAGGTTGACTTATGGCTTCTGCACACATGCATTTGTACATTTGTACTCCACATACACAAAAGAAATATGCAAACATTTCCTGTAGTAGGAGACTGCTCATTCTTTTTCCAGCCACCCAGATCTGAATAATCACGCAGAAACTATATTTATTACAACACTGGCCAATGAATCTAGCGTATTCCTGATTAGCTCTTACATCTTAAATTAACTCATTTCTACCAATCTGTGTACCACAACGAGGCTGGTAAGTTTCCTAAGGTTCTAGTATGTTCTTCTCCTTTCTGCAGATACATGGCTCCTCCTTGACTCTGCCTACTCTCTCTATATATCTCAGTTTGGATTTCCAGTCTGCCTTTATTCTGTCCTACCATAGGCCAAAGCAGTTTCTTTATTACCCAGTGGTAATAAAACATATTCACAGCACCCAGAGGAGAATCCCACATCATCTCCACTTTTCTGATTAAATAAAAAGTAAGGTTTAACTTTAACATAGTAAAATTACATATACAAAATAGTTATCAAGCAAGAATTTTAGTTATAATATTTAGTGTATTTACATTTGACAAATTAAGGAAAATACTCTATCATCTATCCTATCTTTGTGGGTCTAAAGCTTTCTATCTAATTTATTTTTATCATAACTGTAGAAAACATAACTATAACTGTCTGTCTTCAGCTCTTCAAAGACCCCAGAAGGATATAATATTATCTAAGTAAACAGGAAGCTCATTGTAAGCAGCTTCCAAAACTCTAGAATTGACAGAGACCTCTGAGTGCCTGAACAGTCACCCAAATTCTTCTGTAATATTGGGCATCCATCTTCAGCCTACAGGATCATAGTGTCCAGTAGAATTTTCCATGAAGCAGAAAGTTTGAAGATCTGTTTTACTTTGTAATGGCAAAGTTCATCAGTTGCTTTCTGCTGTGCCTACAGAATATCTGACAGTTTCTTGTATGAAGCAGGAACCCTGAAGGATCATCCCGTCTTTTGGAAAGTTCAGCAGTCACTTTTCTGTGGGTCCTGCATGTCCAGTTCATACAACATACAATCAAGCAGTCCAAGCATGAACAGTTTTTTGTTAAAATGCCTAAACTTGTCACATTGAAGGCAAATTCCATAACAAATTTCTTCAGTGTTCATAAACCTCTCTGAATTGGTGCTGCCAGAAGCAGACGTGTCTCACAGTTTGGAAAAGACTATGTTCTTAAAATATTTTTAAATGCTATATTCTGTAGATCTTGAAGTATTGAAGGTAATCTACCTAACTAAAATATATCTCTGTATATCTAGAAAATCTAACTAACATGACTGTAAGTTTGACGATTATGACTGTCTATTAATCTATAAATTTTAATTAGAGATTACATTTTAAATGAGCTGTCTAAACATAATACCTTAAACAAGAACAGAAATACAGATAACAAATTTGACCTTAAATTTGTGTTAATAGACCAAATACATACCAATGCAAAGTATTCATCTCTATATCATATTTCCTTTATTTTTTAAAAAAAGAGATTGACTGTGATCATTAATAATTTATACCGAACCCCTTTTAAATGAAAACAAACATTTATAAACAATCATTTTGGGAATCTTGGCATTGTTTCTCCGAACTGCTTCCTGTTTTGTAGGGCAAAGTACTTTTAGGGTTCATGGAGAACTTTCAGGGGGTTTTGTTCCATCAAACCACATTAGCCTGGAAGGAATCCACAGGTTCTCAACGTTTGTGAAAACAAAAGCAGAACCTCTTTTCCAAAGCAACATATCCTTAGACTCAAAATATGAAGTCAAGATACCTTTATGTGGTTTAACTTAGCAGTCCCCAGAATCAAATGTCCCTCTGTAGTCAAAAAATTCAAAGAAAACACAATAATATACATAATGTCTGTGTATATTCCATCTTTACGTGGCTTATTTTTCTTTGCTCTTTCAATGTATTACAGTCTGTACTCTTTTATATTACTTTTTCTGTCTCTTTAAAGATTTTACTTCTTTTCATAATTCTCTATACTCTTTTTCCCCTCTCTCCCAAGCCTACATAAATTTTTAAACACTATGTGTCTCGTTTAGAGGTCTTTTATATTTGAATCTCTCCTATTGTGTATCTGAAATCCTTTTCTGACAAGTAGCATTTTAAAATGGTAAGCAGTGTGGTCACAGCAGCCTTGGATGCTGGCTCTGCCTCTCTTAGCCTTTTAATAAGGCAGAGATACCTTCACAGCGTTCTGCAAGTCATTCTCACTGCCCCAGCTCCAGGGACGCAGTGGGTCTAGGTTGCCATCAAGCAACTTGTAGCACTCTGCTCACAACCCCAATTAATGTTCTGCAGCTGGACCTCCCGAAAGAGACAGAGCTGTTAGTGCTGCCAGTATGAACCAGGAAGCCTTCTGAAAGGAGTTGTGCCTCTGCTTGTGGCTGGAACACAGAGCCTATCTGAAAAAAAAAAAAAACAAAAACGCAGTTACCAAGAAGCTGCACCTGGCTCCCGTTTTTGTGGGTCTAGAAGTACCCTTTTTTTTCTTAAGCTTTTTGGTTTTGTTTTAGGTCTTATGTGGACCCATGCCCCAGATGATGGGTGCCATTTTATAGTAGGAGACTACTCATTTGTTTCCCAGCTACCCAGATCCAAATAATCACACAGAAATTATATTAATTAAAACTGTTTGATCAATGTCTCTAGCATATTCCTTGCTAACTCTTACATCTCAAATGAACTCATTTCTATCAATCTGTGTATCACCACAAGGCTGTGGCTTACCGTTAAGTTTCTTAAGGTTCCAGTGTCTTCTCTTCTTTCTACAGCTATTATGACATCTTCCTGACTCCATCCACTCTCTCTCTCTGCCTCTCTCTCTCTGCCTCTCTCTCTCTCTCTCTGTGTGTGTGTGTGTGTGTGTGTGTGTGTTTGAATTTCCCACCTGACTCTACTCTGCCCTGCCATAGGTGAAACAGCTTATTTATTAACCAATGATATAATAAAATATATTCACATACAGAGGGGAATCCCACATCAATTTTAGGGACGATTATGTAGTCCAAATTGACATGGATGCCAAAGTGTCATTACTGTCCCTCTGCCACACCAGAGACCTGAAATTCCCAAGGCCAGCTCATAGGGGTGCTAACATGCCTGTAAGCCCACACAGTTAATCATTTATGACCATAATACACATGTCTAGCAGTTTTCACAGCCTTCACACTGGGTCTTCAACCTGTAGTATCAGAGCTTTCTAGTAGGACAGGACAAATGGAAACCCCCTTCACTATTCACACCAATACATTTAAAAATAAACCATTGTCAAATTTGAGTGATTGAAGTGAGTCCCACATTTAACTCTGTTAAAGAATAGAGGAATAATGGTCTCCATCAGTCCCCATTAACTCAGCAAGACGAGTCGTGCAAACCCACGAAACTCATTAGGGTGAACAGGTGCAAATATAGCCTGAGTGTAGACCAAAGCACACATGGTGTCCTTGCTAAAGAAGATTAACATGGTGTGTTAGTGACTTTTCTCATAGTTATGACCAAATCCCTGACAAGAAGAAAACTAAAGAAAAAAAGAGTATATTTTGGTTCACAGTTTGAAAAGCTGTAATCCATTATGGTGGTGCAGGCATGGCTGCAGAAGCATGAAGTAACTGGTCACATTGTGTCCAAGTCAGGAAACAACAGGCAGAAAATTGGACATGTCTAAAACCTCAAGGCCTACTCCCACTACTCCACTTCCTCTGACAAGACTTCATGTCCTAAAGGATCCACAACCCCCTAAAACATCACTGCCAGATGGGGAAAAAGTCTTCAAACGCATGAGCCTGGGAGGGCATTTTACATTCAGCTCACAGCTCACGGCACCAGATAACTGCTGATCTAGAAAATACATTTTCCTATCTTTAGAAAGAGAGGAAATATATAGGTTTCCATTTATTTAAAACAGTCAACAAGATACATTATGAGTTTGCTCCAGGGCTGTGTTAAATCCTCTGCCCTTTGTTAAAATATAGTATGAAGAGACAGAGACCATCTGGAAGTCTGGGCAGAATACCTCATTTGTTCACTATATTGATAGTGCTGTGTATTCACAGAACCAGATGAACAGGAAGCAGATGCTGGCTGGAGGCTCTGTTAAGCTGTGCCCCAGACAATTAGAGACTGTTAATAGATCTGAAGACTCAATATTGCTAAGAGATCAGTTTCCCCCGATTCAATCTATAGATGTACCCAAATCCCAGCCTACATTTTAATAAATGCTGCCAACGTGATCCTAAAATGTCTTCTGTTTGTAGCCTGATGAGAATTTTATGCCGTTCTAAAACAAGGATCAGATGACTGAAGCTTCAATTCCCAGCATGAAAAGGGAAACAAAGTGCCAGGTAGAGTTTGTAGGGCTGTAGAGCTGAGTATTGCTTGCCTGGCCTACACACTACATGGCAGGAAGGGATGGCAGATTTAAAGGGGTCCACGTTTCGATGAGGTTCATCTCCTGATCACCATCTTGGGGTACTGTTACTCAGTCAGAGTAGAGAAGTATTTTTACGACCCAGGTGATACACTGAATGTCTTATTGGACCCCTGGACCAAAATTTGATAGTAAGAATGAACTCCTGACTCATATCCCAAGAAAGTCTTGAAGATCACAGATGTAGAAAAGTAGACAAGAGGATCTGCTCTGCAATTTAGATAGCAACGAAGTGATAGTGGTGATTAACACAAAAGCTTCCATCCTCTGTTCTTCTGCTGGATTGCAAGAACAGCTGGTGAATCCAGGTGAGCCCACACAACTCCAAATGTGGTCTGTGGTGAACATGTGGATTTACCAACAGTTCCTTCTTCATTAATGAAGGACTTGCATTCCAGCTTCTGGGGACTCTGGTGGGAAAGTACTGTCTTCTAGAAGCTTCCACAGGGATTGCATTGATTTCTCAAGTCTGCTTGGCCCCAAACCACACTTTCTCCAGGTCAGCTCACATTGAATAAGTAATTGACAATGGAGTATGAAGTCTTGGCACCCTTATCTGAACTGGGAGCCATAATGAAGGACCACACCAGCTCTAGTGTTGTCTGTAGGATATTTGACAATTTTCTGTAGAGTTGTGAACAGGCATCTATTCATACTGGCAATACACCAAAGAAATGACTCTGCTCACAGCTAGCTTGTTGAATCAATGAGTTTAAGGTGTTAACTACAGGAGCACAAGTTGATAGATTACTTACAGAGGCTTGGGTGACACAAGGCAACTGCATCATGGAGCACTCATCCCAACCTCGATGCGTACTCACAAAACTCCATCACTTGAGTCTCCCCAAGAGTCTCCTCTTCCTCACCACTCACTTACCGCTTCTGTGACCTCCAGGAGAACACGTGAATCTTGTATGTTTCCAGACCTTTCTGAGGTTTTGGACCTCCACCTTATCTATTGGAAAGAATGTTTCTGTCCAGAAGCAATCACTGTACACTCTCAACTGCTCATCACTGGCTCTGAGTCTCAAGTTACAATAAGCCTTCTATACTGAAGGTGCAACTAAAACCATAGCTATGGTGGAAATTACATATATATTTGTAATTTAAATTTGTAAGTTAAATTCTGATTAACACCAAAAAGCTAAGACTATATGAATGCAAAGGTTTTTTTTTAAAAAAATGAAACACATTTTAGACTTTCATAGATCAAGATGTTGATATAGGTAGGCTAGATAAGGCTTCAACAGTATAGTTGTGGTTCAGTTAGTAGAACATGAAACATTGTTGTCAAAATAGCTATATCTCCATGCTCAAGGTGTAAGGAACAGCTAAGATTATTTTTGGTACCACTTTAAAGTCTATCACATATTAGTTTACAAAAGGTCTCCAAACTTTTCCTGATGTACAAAATGTGTTACCTTCCTGCAGCACAATAAAATTAGTGTAACTGGGTCTTCCCAAATTTATGATCTATAAAACATTGAATTATGATTAAAACATTTCTCCTTATGGAAGACAAAATCCTGGAGAAAATCAGAGAAAAATTAAAATACCTGTTTGATAAAATGTATTCAAATGAATAGACAAAAGACAGCAACTGTCTATCACAGGATATCAAAATTAGACAGAATACAAGAAATGAAACTGTCTCTCCAATCTCACTGTGGTCCAGATTGGCAAGCCCAGGGATGCAGTTGGAATTTGTTATGATGAAACACAGTCTATGTCGAGCATTGATTGTATATGGTGTGCAGAGCTACACTCAGGCACACACAGATACACACTGGATAATAAGTAAATGCTTTAAAATAAAATTAAAAACACCCATTCATTATTGCATTTAAACTTCCATGATGTCTAAGAGAAACAACCAAAAAATAATACTCAATAGTTTTATACAACAAAGTTATAAAAATATCCACGCAAAAAATCCAATTTATGACTAAGAAAATTCAACTTATGAGCATATACATAAATAAACCTCAAAGTTGATCAATAAATTCAATGTAATTTCAATAAAAACTTCAACAAATATTTTAAGGTACTTTAGTTAAAAAAATTAAATTCTTAACTATGAATAAATATTCAAGACAAGGTATGACAGGAATGGGAAAAGTTACTTTCCTGGATATTATTTTAAATAGATGAATAAATTATTTTGAGGCAGGGATAATTAGAAGTGTGGTATTTTACAGGGTTAAAGTATGTTAATTAGTTAGACTTGGGAGCTTAGAAATAGATGCTAGGGTCGCTGGGACCTGTATTTATGAGAGAGGTGGTCTCACATATCAGAACCTTTTGAAATAATTAGTCATCTGTATGGAAACAAAGATAATTAGAGATTCATCTCTATGAAAATAAATTTCAGGTAAAGGAAAGGCTTAAATCTCGTCAAAATATTTTAGAAATACAATGTAGGGTGACAATTTTATGATTTCACAACAAAAACTGTTAATTATATACAATAAAAACATAAAAACAAAACACAATAAGTTTACATTAAGGCTTAAAATACTTGCCTGACAAAGTAACAAGATGGGAAGGAATTTTGCAAAATGCTTTGTAGATGAGAAAACAATCCAAATTACATACAGAACATTTCTCCCCATGCTAGATATGGTGGGTGTATTAATCACTTCCTGAATGCTGCTATCTAATCTAATTGGTTAGATTGGTCAATGTGTATTTACTCTCTGAACCACTATAATAAAGCCACAGAATACTACTTTAATCTCCATTTTCCTCTTGAAGGGACTGAACCACAGAGAGGTCATGTCACAGCCAAGTCCACACAACATATAAGTGACAAATTCATGTTTGGAATTCCAGAATTCCCGTCAACCAGGTCCAGAATGACACATATATTCCAATCAAAGACAAAAGATGGAAACTGGTTAAAGTAGAGCAAGCCAGAATTGCCAATGCAGATGAAAATAGATCCATCCTCACCCATCAGAAATGCAGTTTGAACTTCGGGTTTCTCACCCATTGGATTGACAAAAGTTTAGGAGCTCCTAGTTTGCCAAAGTTTAACCAGCGTTTGATGAAAAATTGGAATTGAAACCCTTGCGACAGGAAGCAGGAATTCATGTCCAGACTTTAAAGAATGAGCTGCTAAGAGCTGGAAAAGTCTGAACAATGCTGACTGGTGAACCAGAAACTTCACTTCCAAGAAAATGGTGACATTGTGTAAGGGCATCATGGATTTCAAAATATACAAACAAAAATTTGGGAAGAGTTAAGAGAATGTGAAAGTAAATTGTAATTTATTGCTAACCTGTAATACTCTGTGACAATAATTCATGACCTAAATATTTTGCAACGTGGGTGTTTTTCTAAGATTTGAATGTTGAGTAGAATCAAGGTGTCTAATTTGTGATCTACAAGCTACATGCTCCCCTCCCCAGGATAACCAAGAATGCTGCTCAACACAAAACCATAAACAAGCAACATTATTAGATCTTTGCTTTTACAACCTTTTCATTGTGAATGGCTTGCATAGTTCTCAAGTATAGAATTTGTAGATGAAAATACTGCGTTATAGTATAAAGACTGGACATACCAGCTTGTAGATCCTATACATACACAGAATATGACACCATATGAAGGATAATAGGATATAGGAATTGTCATAGTCCATACAGAAGCACTTCAAACATAAATACAGGGTATGAACTACTTTCATTAAAAAAAAGACTGCTTTTGGAAAGGACGGCGTATGTTCAGGGGCTTCAGAGGTGCACAGAGACATGGAACTCACATTCTTAATATTTCTAATAAACAAAGACATATGGTGCTCAAGAGATGATTTTAGCTCTGGTGGCAGGTGCATAGACTGATTCAGCTCTGTATATCTCAGTAATTTTTAATATAAAGAAGGGACAGAATAAGCTGGCAAGATGATTAGGGCAGGCTCCTTAACCACAGAGGACTCATGTCTAGTCATTCTAGCAGAAACTTTGAAAGTCAGCATAACTCCTCGAAAACAGTAGAGACCCAAGGAGAACGGTGTTTCCTGCCCATGTAGCTTCTAGTCTGTCCTCTTGTGCTATCGAGTTTTCCTCTGGTTGGCATGTCAATCAGAGCAGGGGCAAGTTACAGAGACCATCCAAGCATCTCATGGGTTGCAGAAGGCTGGACTTTGATAGAAGAACAACTTATAGATTGGGAATCATATTACCAGAACCCTGATTCCCAGCCCATAGACCAAATTAAGCCCATAAAAAGGGTTGGTTTGGTCTATGCATGGTATCACTATTTTAAAGAAATGTGATATTTCTATTTATTATCTGTGGAGTTAGCTGTAACCCTAACGACTCCCTGTTTTCTTCTGTGAGCATCGCTCATTGTTCAACCTGGCCCTCTTGTGTCTGTGCTTGTGAGTCTCACCATAGGATACTTGACTTAAAGGGACCTCAGAAAAGCCTGCCTTATGTTCCCTTCAGTCCTACCCTCTGCTCCTGCCAGTCCTACCAAGTGGCATTGACCTCTGCTTGGACACATTGTCCACAGAACTTGTACCTACTCGCAGCACCGCTCATTTCTTTAATAGCTCTGACTATCAGGAAGTTCTGCTTTGTATGGAGTCAAAATATGCTTCAGACTTTTTCCCGCTAAAGCCTGTTAGTGGCCTGTGTGGCCAGCGGAGCTCCTGCTTTGCAAATATCTGAAGACAGCACTTCTTCAAAGTAAGCCCCTTTTCAAAGTAAGCCCTTCAGACCCCTTTGTCTTCTAGACTTGCTTGGTTCCTTTCTTGGTTGACTCTTCCGGCCTCTGGTGCTGCCTCACTGGGTGTGATCCAGCTCCTTTCCATAGGAAGGCAATGGAGAGATACTGGTCAAGGTTATCATCCCCAGCACTATCTGTCCACCACTAAATTATCCAGCTATCCACAGCCTGGAAAAGGGCTTGCCTTCCAAATTTCTCCTCTTTGCTTCCACTCCTTTACCCTCTGTCATGTTCATACAGTGTTTAGATCCAGGGGCAATATACTCATGTAAAGTTCCCTAAACAATGTATGAAGTATAAAATGGGGTCCTCTGTGCTGTTCCATATCCTGCTTCCTCTATATGTCTTCCCTTGGGAATTCCTATTTATTCCTCAAAACCCAGTTTTGATATTCTGTGTAGAGGTTTCCTGGGCCTCCAACAATCCCCTCTTCCTCCCTCACACCAGTCTGTGGTGATATTTTGTTTGTGCTATAACAAGTAAAGCTTGCTTGAGGATCAGAGTAAGGAGTGAGCTACTAGTTAGTCATAGAGGCCAGGCAGTGGTACCACATACCTATAATTCCAGTACTCAAGAGGCAGAGGCAGATGAATACCTGTGAGTTCAAGGCCACCCTGACTGCACTAGATTGATCTAGTCTAAAAGAGAAACAGAGTCAGGCAGTCATGACTCACACCTCTAATCCCAGTACTTGGGAGTCACATGCCTTTAAAATGCCAACACTTGGAAGGTGGAGACAGAAAGGGAAATGAATGAATGGAGAGAGGAATAAGAGGCAGGAGGAGACAGGAGCTCAAGAAATTCAGTCTGAGGATTTGAAAGACAGGATACCCCATTCGATCTGAGGATTTTGTAGAGGTAAGAACTAGTGGTTGGCTGCTCTGCTTCTCTGATCTTTCAGCTTTCACCCCTATTATCTGACTCCAGTTTATTGTTTTATTTTTATTTCTGTTTTTATAACTTATTATACTTTACTTTTTAAAAAGAAAACAATCTTTTTCATTTTACATACCAATCCCAGTTCCCACTCCCTCCCCTCCTCTCATTCCCTCTACTTACCCCTCCACCCCACCCCCCATCCACTTCTCAGAGACATTTCCAGTCTATGGCCAACTGTTGGAAGAACACCTAATCTAATAGTTCATTTAAACAAAGCCTTAGATGGTGACAAAGACTTAAATAGACCCAAAGACTTAACAGCTGAAGCAGAAAAGGAATTGATTGTCATTGAAGAAAAATTACAGGAGGCACAAGCGGATAGGGTGAATCCAAATCTTAATTGCATTCTAGTCATATTGCCTTCCAGAATTTCTCCCACAGGAATTTTAATGCAAAGGGAAGATATTATCTTAGAATAGATCTTTTCACCACATAAACCAAGTAAAAAATTAAAAACTTACGTGGAAAAAGTCTCTGAATTAATTATAAAAGGAAAACTTAGACTTCATCAACTAGCAGGTATAGGCTCATCATGATGATACTATGGTGCCTTTTATTTCTGATGAAATTTAAAAAATTATGGGAAGACAATGAACCTTGGAAAAGAGTTTGTGCTAATTTTTAGGAGAGATTTATAGCAATTATCCCCAAGTGATAGAATTAACCTTATAAAGAGAACTACTTGGATCCTTCCCTGCATTGTATGGGACACAGCAATAACTGGATAAGATGGTTTTGAAAAATTCCCTGCATCTGAAAATGGTCTTTCAGTTACTCTAGGCCTTGGCCAAAGTTGGTTGCTCCAATGTTGCAAATGAGACTTTGGGTGATTGCTCAGGTAGCCAGTTGTCTCTGTCATTTGTTGTACATTTTTGAAGTTGCTTGGTTGTACTTCCTGTTTATTCAAGTAATATTATTTCCCTTCTCAGGTCTTCGATAGGGTTGAGGACTAGATAGTTGTAGTTGCTTTCCTCGTATGACTTGGCCAAGTTATTTATAATAAAAGATTTAAACTCCTTTGGATAGGATAATTATTGAAACATTTATCACATGTTTCTTGCTTGATATTGTTTATGCTGGTTATAATTCTAATTTTTATACCTGATATTTGTTCTTAGTGTATATAATTTTGTATTAGGCTTAGAACTTTCTTATTTAAACAAAAGTGGGAGGTGTTGTGGGAATTCCTACAGCCAGTAGCCTTGAAGTTACCTGCGCACTTAGGCATGGCTTCTTATAATATAAATGCCCATGTAAAGCATGTGTGTCTGGGTTCTATCTTTCAGTGGTATGATTTAGTTCCTATTCCCTGTTCATGCAGAGGATTGTGATCTGTGAGTTTACCCCTAAACAAATAACCTTTTATCATACTCAATTCTGAGCTAGTGTGGGATTTCTTTTCAGCGTCCTTCTTCACACAAGGAACATTGCCAAACTCTTTTAATGAGGCTACAGTTACCCTGATACCAAAAGCATACAAAGACTCAACAAAGAAAGAGAATTACAGACCAATCTCACTCATGAACATAGACACAAAAATATTCAATAAAATGCTGGCATACCGAATCCAAGAACACACCCCCAAAAAAAATATATCCACCATGATCAAGTTGGCTTCATCTCATGTTTTTATTATTAAGACCAATCAGAAATCATGCTACACCAGTCTATTATAATCATGCCCTCCTTCGCACTGCTTCCTCATCCTATCTTCATAACTTGTTTGTAATTTTGTCTGTTCTTTCTATTTCATAACCTCTCAGAATGAAGTGACTGTGTCTAATTCTGTTTTTGTAGATACAACAGTCAGCACTAGGACTGGACTTAACAGGTACTTAGAGAACACTGGTGAGTCGATGATTTAAGGTGTCTCTGAGATCACTGGGTATTTTGCATGAACTGAAGTTGAATGAAGAGCAGCTAGTTTTCCGAATCTTTAAGCAGGAATTACACTTGTTTTCCTTGGGCTCCTAATAACAAGTACAACTTCCAGTATTACTCATATGCTTGCTGAATGAATAAAAAAGGATTCAGAGGGACAGGGTGTGGTGCTGCAAGCTTTCATGGGAATATTGTTTCTCTGGCTCTTTATTGTAGAGAAGGGAACAAGGCACATACAGTAAGATTAAGTTTATATTCATACATCCATGCTGTACACAGCATCGTATGCATGTATTAGTAAAGCCCTTGCCTTTGTGCTATGCAGCTACATACATCTTCTGAATTGCAGTGTGCACCCAGCTCATTTGAAGTCCTACACAACGTGTCTAACCTCCCAGGCAAAGTTTCTTATTTATTTTCTTTGCTTTCACCAATGTGTGATTTATTTACAGAAACCGCCATGCAGCAAATTAAACAATATTTGCTCTACCCAGAGGGAGTTTTTCACAGTAGCACAGGATGGACAGGCCCTGTTCCAGAGGGTTATATAGGAACAAAGAATCCAGTTCAGAACTCCA